CCCCTGACTAAAGCCACAGTGCATCATTCCACACTGATCGGCCATGTAATAGCATATCCCCTCCCAGACCAGCTCCTACATCAGGGCTTTCCCCAGGACTATCAAAAAGGATGGTGGGCAGGAAAACTGAGTCTGGTTCCCTTTAATCTAAGCAAGTCAGAGTGCTGCCACAACGTAGTGAGAGAAAGCTAGTTTTTGAGACTTTCTGTATTCACCTTTTTCTGCAAACAGCAGAATGCCAGATGAATAACAGATGAAATAGGTACGCATCCAGTAGCTGAGCAGTCAAATAAGTAAATAACAAGGCACACTCTTGCAAACATCTGTCTACCACTACAAACAAATCCTTCCTACAGAAGATCAGCACCCCCTCGTGCCTAAACACTGTGCCTTTCTCTGTAATAGTTTAGGACTCTGCTCATCAAAATGGCCAGCTTTCTTACCTCAGTACCAGATGTCTCCCTGGAGATCCTGTATGGTGAAGTTAGGCAGAGTATTTCACCCAGGCATAAAACACTTAAATACCCTTAAGGAACTATTCCTAAAGATCAACATCAAACATGGCTGTAAGCAAAGGAATTGCATTTGAAACCTTGGTTTGGGAAAAAAAAATAAGAAATTTTCAAGTAAATCAGCATATAATTAATCCAACTGATAATGTATTTTGGGGACACAAGTAACAGGCACACATCAGCAGCTGTCACACAGTCATGTTCAGCCTCCTTTCCCCATGCCCTTTCCCCAAAGAGCTTCACTCTGCTAACCACTATGCAATGACAGAGCTGTCTGAAAATACATCTCCTGAATATAACAAGCAGATACATGAAAAAAACAGCCTCGGTGGATGCTGTTTTCTTTGTCACTGCTTTTATTTGTGAAAAATCTTAGCTTTTAAACTCTGTACAGACTCTGTGACCTGGAGGCAAAGGAAAGACAATAATGGAGTAGGTCAACTTCTCCTTTAACTGCTTTCAAGAAAAAGTTCTAGTGCTTGTTGAACTGATGAAGTCCAGTTTTTCTTAGCTTGTGGTTGGCTGCAAACCCTGATTAAAGCCTCTCCCAGGGAAAGGGTACTTATAAGAGCTCTCTCCAGAGTGGGTTCTTTAATGTATTGAGCTCATGCTTCAATCTCCCTTTTAGTCAGGACACTTTAGGAATCACCAACCTACCTGGCTGGCTATTTCCACAGAATTTATAAGGATATAAGTATCTTTGAATTCGTTTAATTTGTCTTTAAGTCATCCAACAAAATCAAAAGTTATTGCTGGCAAGAGAGAAGCACAGTGGCTGGGCTAAAAACCACTGCAGGCCTCCCCTCCTTCCCTCTCTCATGCATGCACACAGACACACACATACAAAGAGGGAAGAAAATGTGTAAAAATGCCTTAACTTATGTGAGGAGGGAAATGAACCCTGGTAGGGCAGGCTTCCCCCCATCTGTACTTTCACCCCTGAATTGCAGTGATTTCTGAAGAACTTCCCACTAACATACAGACTGGGGGGAATTGCTTCTGCTGCTGCTTCCCACCCTGTGACTCCCTCCCTGCTGTCCTTGAGTGGTGGAAGCATCTCCACTGCAAACAAGACATCCACTGGTACCATTGCTGGAGCAACCTCAGCTATTACCAGCAGCATCAAACCCTCAAGGCCAGACCCACAAAGCTGAAGGATCCTTCTGTCAGGAAAAATACACTGTGACCTGGGGGAACACAAAGAGAACCATAGAAAGCTTCACTGTGTCTTCCCTTGTTTCTTGCTGGTCTGTGTCACCTCAGCTTTGTGTGGAGAGAGAAGTGGAATTAATTTTTTTAAATTATGTTTCTTCTTTTCTCACCATAAAAATAGCTCAAGAAAAATTCTAAAGGATGTTCCTTCCGTGCATTTTCTGCCATAAATCTAGCTGCTGTTCCACTGTTTGTTGCTGCAGTGGCTACTAATCTATTCAATCTCTTTATAGCAAGGGATTTCATTACAGTCCCTTTAGGAATTATTCGCAAGTTTTAGAGTGCTGTCTCCATCCAGTGGTAAAACATTAAAAATGCTGCTTTCCTGGAATTTCAGTCTTTCAGACTTTCTGCAAAGCATGAAATACATTATCTCCAGATTTTAAATTGCACAGTTAGTAACTGGATAATTACATTAAAAGAATGCACATGAGACCTAAAAATGCCCATTCAATCTGCAACAAAATGCGACATTTTTGAACATAAAAGTTTCACCAGCAAATGGTGTGCGTTTTAATTCTTATCTTCCTTCAATTTTCAACTTCGCCTTGAAAGCTGATATTCTTTTGCCAATATAAATGTGTCTGGACACAAGAAAGCAGCATGCCACCCACCCTCCTCTCCTGTTTCTCCTCCAGTTTCATACAACTACATCAATAACCTTTTTGCTAACATAAGACATGACCATTTCTGGCAGTTCACATTTTTCAGACATGGCAGCAGCTGAGCACCACAATGGAGAAAGTGGGGGTTTGCCAGCAGAAACTCAGTAATTAGTTAAGCTCCTGCTTCATTGCCCTTCTTATGCCATATTGATTTTAGCTGCCACAGACAGAAAAGACCACAATGCAGGCAGAGTCAGTTGTCTGTACCTAAAGACATGCCAGGTTTATTCCTCACCGTAGCAGCTTGTGCTTTAAGTGTTTCAGAGACAGGATGCCCTAGCTTGACTCTTACCTCACCCTCCAGGAATACATTCTTGTTTTCCCTTCTCTTTGCTTTTGGCCTGGCCTCAGCAAACATTTGGTTGTAGATTCTCATCACAGAGATTAAAAATCACGCTGTCTCAGTAGGGCAACAGCAACTTTACCAAAAAATCTTGTCAAAGGTTAATTCAGACAATAAATGGCCTATGCCAGGCTCTCAGCAATGTTACATTGACCTGCTTTTTGTTTTGTTTTGTTTTCCCTAATTGCTTTCAAGTGTGCCAAGGTCTGGCTGATCTCCAGGAGCAGCAAAAGAGTGCAACTCCATTTCTAACCCATCTCCTTGGAGTACGCTCAAGGCAGTGCTGGCACAGTTCAGACTGAGGGTCTTTATAGTCTGAGGACGCTGCTGAAGCCTGGGCAGATGCATTGTGTGTTCTGCATGTGCGTGAATGTGAATCTTGAAGTGTGCATCTGCATCATGGGATTGGGAAGAAATCCATTTTTTCAGTGTTACGTTTCAGCATTCTAAATCCATGTGTGGTCCATTGTCTTTCAAAGGTATGATAGCTCTGAAGTTGATAAACAGAGTTGGCAGTAAAGCTGTGCCTGAGATGTTTGAAGAGTGTGATGCTGAACTCTCAGTTGCCATTCCCACCAGCTGCCAGGTCATACCCTTGATTCCACAGAGTTTTGAAATTGGTCTTGCTAGAATGTTCAAGAGTGTTTGAACCACTTCCTTGTTTTGGATCAGCTCCTAGGTTACAGCCTTAGCAAACAACTCAATTCGTTCAAATGGTCTTCCTAAACAGAACAGGATTGGCAAGATACTAGGAGCATATGGAGTTATGTATACAAATATGCTGAGAATCTAGTTTTAATCTCTCATTGGACTAGGGTGCAAATCTGGAAGTACTAAGGATAATTCTCTTTTCATTGTTGAAGTGCTAAGGAAAGCTATTAATTCTTATAGAATGAAATCTATTTCCCTCAGGAAAAGCATCAGTTTATAATAAAACTAAGGATTAAACAATCTTCCTTTTTATTTCACACAGATTTCTTTAAAATAGAAAATCCGGTTTTTCAGAGACATGACCTTTTGAAAAAAACCCTCCAAATCTCTGTGACTTCTCTATATCTATTCCCAGCCAGCTGTACAGCCACATACAACACCTTCCACCCTCAGGCTCTACTGCCAAGGAAAGCATTCAAGCTGAAGTTGGCTGGTTTTGCTGGCTGTTTGCAGAAGACAGAAGATGCTGAAGGGTATCTGCATACTTCTAAGAAGCCAGATGAGGGCACCTCAGAGCAGTCCCCTCTGCTCAGGGTAAGTTCTGAAAGCCCAACAACAATGCTACTGGAACAAACCTGCCCCTAGACAGGGGCTCCTGCCCCTGCTGCTATTTAGATGGACCCCACATGAACTGTAGTGACTGAAAAGTATGCGTATTTTCTACTGAGACAATCAGAAAGGAGACAAGATTATTACCTTTGCCATTCAAGGACAAAAGTACAGTGCCAAAGAGGTGATTTAACCATTAATTAATCTGAGAGCTACCGGCAAGTGCAGGTAGAAGGCAGACTCCTTCCTGAACAGTTTGTATTTGGTGGGCACTTGATGTCAGGTTCTCACTCATTACATTTACTGCCACCCTCACCTCCATTTTTCGTCTTTAACAGATGCATTCTCCTAAAACCTTGCTGTAAGAGACACTTGTAATCACCTACCTGCGTTTCCAGACAATTACAGGGTTCATAAAGGTATACACTCCTGTTGATGAGACAGAGACTGACTATGATATTCAGCTGATTTATCAGTTCCCAGCCTTGCTCCCCTGACTCACAAATCTTCTGGCCCCATCAACCTGCAATGACCTGAAAGCTCTCCACCATACTTTACACAGAAGTAACTCAGGCCAATTTACAGTACCCTTGAGATAAGGCTCTGAACTGCCCAAGCTCCCACATAAGTCATTCATTGCATTTAAATCCTCCACTACATGGAATATTTCATGTAACCTTTGTCCAAGGAAAGAAAAATTAGATCATAGAAATCTTTTGATGGAAAGCTTCTTCTGTCTGTTAAACTAAAAAATGTCAAGGCAGCTATCACCCATTTCTTCGCTCTTATTGAAGAGTTTCAAGACACCCACAGTTACTTATAGTGCTATCACCAACCTTGCAAGGCTTTTTTTAAATCATACCAGTCTTGTTCTGAGCAACCAGAAAAGCTGTCAGTGACCAGAAATCACTGGATCCTTGCCTAGTTTTGTTTCTCAGTCGTCTTTCTTGCTCATGCCTGCAAATAGTTCCACGCTCAAGGATAAGAAGAGTCAAAGATTTTACATACCTACCTCCAGCATGCAGACACTCTTGGCTGTCACTCTTTCCAGCCAGCCTCCTAATCCCTGCTAGGGAACCCCTCTAGAAGCCATTGTTGACTTTTTTCTTCCTCTAGTCCAGATGATGACTTTGTGGTTGAGTCTTTTAAAAGGGTAGTGAAGAGCAAGCAGTAGCACCCTGAATGAACATCCAAAGAATCTCTCCCTTGGAGCTGGCTGCATATCTAAAGCAAAGTTTGCTGTCTGACTTCTAGGTCTCTACTGCGCCACTGTGCTCTTCTGTGCTGAGTAAAAACATTCTGAGCCCTTCCAGCATATCATTAGCTACAGGGCTGGTAAACATTGACTTCCCTCCTATGAGTAGAGGATTAACTTCTTGCAAGTGTAGCTTGTGGTAAGTAACTGAAACTTGCTGGGAAAAAAAATCTGTTGTTAGAAACCCTCCCTGACACAGCATTATCACACTGTGAGCTGGGATTTCTCCAGCCCTGTCTCAGCATTCCCAGGTTAGGACATATTTGTGTCTCTGGGAACTCTTTTCACTGTTGCTCTGCTGTTTTCTCAAAACAAACACCAATTCTGGACAGTACGGAGGACAGGACACCCTTTAATCTGTCTGCACTCCTCACATCTCACAGCTATGCGTGGCTGTATCTGTGCTTACAGCTCATCAGAGGTTTAGACACAGTGTTGCACAATAACTAGAAGACCTGACAGCAACCACAAGGCACTCTTGTGCTTGTATTCTTACGGATGTATGAGTTTGTATAAGAGTAAATAAAAAAGAGGGCACAACCCCAGATGTCCCTGAACAATCCCCAGGCTTCATAAAAATAACCAAGTAGAAGCGAAGATCGATTACAAAAGGGGATCTGAATTTCAGGTACCTTCCCTGAGAAGATTTTTTTTTTTTTATCCATCTATTTGGGTTTTTTTCTCTTGCATGGAGAACTGCTTATTTTTTTTACTTTCCTGGAACTGACTGGTCCTTGTAGTCCAAAAGACAGGGAACAGCCAATCCCTATTCATTATCTCATTACCACTGATGATTCTGTAGGCCTCTATATGTCTAGCTCATAGCCACTTCTCCCAAGGGTGAAGAGTGCTAATCTGCTCAGTCAGTCCTCGTACACAGACCTTTCCTAATCTAATTAACCTTGCTGCCATTTTCCAAATCCTTTCCAGTTCTAACAGTGTCTATAAGCAGCTCAGAACTGACCACAGTAGTCAAGAGATAGGTAAACCATGTATCTATATGGTGACATATAAATTGGGTTCTCTTTGTTGTTCACTCCTTCTTAAAATCTGTTTTGCTTTGTTCATTGCTCCTAAGCACAGAGCTGGTATTTTCCTGGACCTGTTCCCTACAACTACAAGGTCCTGTTAATGCTAATGGTGAAATCTAGGCACTCTTTTTTTTTTTTCATTTTACCCCATGAACATCACCTTACATTCCTCTAGTTTGAATTCCATTTGACACGTTATTGTTCAATCATCCAAGATTCTCAAAAGCTTCCCAAAAACAAAAGAAATGAAGCATCAGAATTACTTGCCTTGCAATAAATACAAGATAAATCTGACACAGCATCGCTGTGTTATTAGTTTCAGTGTGTTATAAAAGATACATTTGAGAACCCTGTACAGGGAAAATACCTAACTCAAGTAATTTTTCCACAATTCTATCTGCCTCAAGCCATAAATCGTGTTCTTTACACTTTCAAGTTTTTAATATTGGTTTATGTGTGCTTTAGATTCATAGAGCTGTACAGATCACTTAGCAAATATGACAGGCTATGTTCCCTAGGACACCACTATATTCACAGGAAGTTACAATATTCACTGATATTGCTAATTGACTTACAGAAGAAATAACTGTGAAGAGATCAGTCTTACAGCTGTTCTTTCACATTTTTGGTGCAATAAAATTTTAGAGGTTTTTTTTTCCCCTTCTACAACAGAATAATCCCAGAGTCACCATTTTGGGTACGTGTTTACATGTTTACTTGCTGGTTTTTTGAGATTTGAAATGGAGTAAAACCATAAAGCATGTTCAGAGGAAAAAAGCCGGTGTTTCTAGAATGTATTATATCACCAATATATTTTCTGAACCTAATTTGTATATTTGTAATACCTAATTTGCATAATCTGCCTTGAAAAAAATTGGCTTACAAAAGATCAACTGAAGGATGGCTTGTTTATTTCACAGGGGAATACTGCTGTGCAACATAGTGTTTCTGTGGTCCTTAGGCTTCATGGCCAGCGTGTAAACAGATTTATGATATTGTTAGAATGGACTGTGGTTCTCTTGAGCTGTGACAGTTGTTATTTTATAGTACTTAAGTCAGTGTGAAGTGCAGTTGGCCACCTACTGGAAATGGCACATACAGGCATAAATAATGTGTAACCACATGATTCCTGCAGCGTATAAAGGCAATAATGTAGTCATATTCCCCCTTTCAAATGCACTCTCCCTGGCACATTCAGACTGTTTATCAGGCAGCTGTGATGCTCTGTGACAAACTGCCCATTCTCCATGCTTGTCCATTCTTTATGGCATGAACTACTCTTTTTCAAACATACAGTCCTGTTACTTTTGCAGGTTTTTTACCATCCACATCCTTTTTAATACACACACTGATTGAATTGCTGGTAAATCCACAGATATGAAAATAACCACCTATGTCTTCTCCAGTAAAGATCCACACATGATAAAGATATATGACTATCAACACAAAAAAAAAGAGGGTAGTTGCTTATCCACCTTCACCACAACAGAAGAAAGGTATTTCAATAGTACTGCATATGGAGGATGTGTTTGTAATACAGCCAAAAACATTGCCTGATGCCACATGTTAATTTGACACTGATTCAGGAGAAATTACTTGGTTGACTGGAGTCAGAATAACCTCATGATAAGGGTACAACATCAGGAGCCAAGAAATCTGGTCTCTCCTCATGGCCCTATCTCAGATTATTTATGTAACCATGAGTAACCCAAGGTCAGAGCTCAAATGCATGACTGAATTATGAGCATCTAATAAGTTACTGTGGGTCTGAGCAGTGATAACTCACGATAACTGCTTGCATTCTCACAGCCAGTGAAGGACATGTAAGTTGATCCAAACCCCTTGTATCTGGCAGACTTAAAACAGCACTTAGAAACAGTTAATAAAAATCAGCTGACAAGGGGATAACTTCATTAAGAGCCATATCTTGCTTTTTTTTGTGTGCAAGTGTAAAGCTACCTATGGAGGTCTAAGTGCTCTAGTCCCTTCACTCCAATATCTCCTACTGATGGTTCAAATTGTTTATATTTTTAAATTTGATTTTTAATTTTGTACCTGGTCTAGAGGAAGGTGTCCCTGCCCATGGGGGGGGGGGGGGGGGAAGGACTGCCACGAGATGATCTTTAAGGTCCTTTGCAACTCAAACCATTCTATGAGTTATCACGTGTTGAAAGTTCCATTTCCCTCAACACAGAAGAAATGCTGCAAGAGAAAACAACAGTTACCCTGCTCAAGTTAGTCTACACACTCACCAAGGTGGGGGCGGGGGCTTGTTTTTTTGGGGGGGTGGTGGGGGTTAGTTTGTATTTTGGAACTTCAAGGTCATCGTGCAAAGTGCTGATCAGATGGAAATTCATCCTGACAGGTCAACTTTTTGATCTTTTTTTTCTAAAACACTTGTAGGTTAAATTTATATCAGCAGATTTTATGCAAGATATCATCTGTCAGCACCTGTCTCGCTTTATGCAAGATTGGGTATCAATTTGTCCTTCCACAGAACAGAAGCAGAAAACCCATATAAAACCCCATGCTGTGCACTTGGCACATATGGGGAAACACAGGGAGAAAGTAGGCTGCACTGAAATGGTTTGTCCCATTTCAAAAAATGGCATTGGGCTGCAAAATCTGTTTCACATGCAGACGCTGAAGCGAATTGACAGGCAATTAGAAACATAGTAACTATAGACATTGCCGAGTGGGAGAAGTAGGACTGGAGCAGAGCAGAGTCCTGACACCAACAGGAGGGAGTGTAAGAAGGGGAGTGTAAGAACAGGAGGAAACAGTGTGTTTCTTGATATTAGTAATACTTCTACCAACAAGCCTCATTTTGCATTCAGTTGCCGCAGAAGTAAGCTCTATGTTTATATGCTCCACCCGCACAGGTAATGGTTTCATTTATAAGTGCACAAGAGATAACATCTGCATGCTGATCCCAGCAGCATTCCTCTGCCCTGCCTCCCCATCTGTCTCCAGGTCTGAGTTACCAAGAGGTAGCAGAACCATCAGCCCAAGCGTGTGTTAGCTTGTCTGACCGGTCAAAGACCCATATTATGGTAAAACAACGTTCACGTCACCAATTTACATAGTAAAGCAGAAAGACTGAATTAAAGAAATGGTTTGGATTCTGTAAGGAATTTGGGTGGAAATTCTTCCTCAGCTGGAATTCTGAACGCTCAGCATTACCATCAGGGCTTAAAGGAAATGGATAGAAGTCAAGTGGGACCACTCAGACAAGGCTCACTTCCTCTTTCCCATTTCACATTTAACTCATTCACTCCCGTGTCCGTGGGAGATGAATCACAGATGATGGCAATATCACCAGCAAGTAACCACTCAAAATGTATTCTTTCTCATGTCTAGATAAAATTCTAGTAACTAGTGGTGCCTGTGTGAAAAGGTTCCATGTGAAACTGGAAACTGAAGTTTCAGAAGACAGCAACACAGGCATAGCCCCAGGGTAAGCGGATTACTCAATATTCTGCACTTCTGGAGCAGGCTGACCTCATCCACCCTCAGCAGCAGATGTTCCAGGCTCTGAAACAATACTTTACCCTCCACATCCCAGATCAGGCTGAGGACACTATCCTGCAGCTCATCTATACCCCGCAGCACATCTGTAATATCCCTGAAGTCACACCAGAACTAATATCTCTATACACTGCCTGCCTCACAGATCATATTATTAAAACTGCTCCATTTTGCATTGCAGGAGATTCATGTTTTGATAGACAAACTACACCAACAGTGTTTATGTCCCCCCTGGCTCTTCCACAATTCCTGGTCTTTCTCTGGAGTCAGTCCAAGTCCCCACTAGTAGCACATGCTCCCTAGCCAGGTAGCCTTACATAGAGAAAAGGGTCATACAAATATTTCATCTAGGTCTCGATCAACAGTTGAAACAGAAACATTTATTTCCATCCTGACTACTTCCTGGAGAAGTCCCAGGGTAGAGGCTGCCATCCTCATGCAGTGAGGGGTGCTGTGACATAAAAACCTGGTTGAACCATCACAGCCGAGCAATCGCTGCAAACATTATTTCCTCCAGTTCCTCTACAGCCAGGCTGTAAATGTTTCTGCTTGTGCTTCTGGCTTACAGATGTATGCCACCCACAGTTCTTCCACTTAGAACTTGGAGTAAGCAGCCCTAAGATCAGGCTTGCGCTCTCACAGGCACTGGCACCACTCAGGGTTACTGCCAGCCTCCTTCCTCACTGCCTGCGGCTGGAGAGCAGGCATCAGAAAAAACAGGTCAGGCACCTCTCTTTTTCTGCTCATGGATACTTTTGAGGAGTGTTGGGATTCTTGCTAGCCTTGAGAAATACACAACTCACAACCTCAACAGACCTGCAACACAAGTCAAAATAAATAAAAACATAAATAT